GCTGGATGCTGCTTTCTGATGAAGAACCTTTCGCTTGCGGCCTTTGGGCACTGATGTCAGTGTCTTGGCCTTCTTTCCTCTGGTGCGCTTTCCTTTGTGTTTTTTTGTTTTGGCCGAACCTGTGGCACCTTTCCCTTTCTTCCTGCTTGCCTTCTTCTCAGCCTTGCGTCTCAATTGTTGGTCTCTGGTGACAAAGGTCACAGAGCCTGTGGTCCCCTCACCAGCTCGTTCACCAGAGTCCTGGCGTGACCAGCACAAAGGACAGGGAAGGAGCACGTTCACATCACAGGTTTTTGCTTATGCACATTTGGAGTGTTTGCCAACTGCGCATGCAATATCCAGAATTCGCTGAAATAAATAATGTTCAAAAATGCATTTGGCAAACTTGAATCCTTGAACGACTCAACCTTTGCCGCAGGCTCCGCTGGCACAGCTGAGATCGGAGCAGGTGCCTTGTTGGGAGCAGAGTTTTTGAACTGCTTCCTCAACTCCTCAGTGGGAAGGCTGGGTGACATAGAGGGCCCCTGTGAATCCGTTCTAGCCGGGGTGGGCAGCTCCATGACATCCATAGCCTGTGTCTCCACATTGTCACCACATCCTGCATGGAAGCACGGTGTAGATTATATAGATATTTTCCAACTCAATCGGTTGAACCTGTTGAAACAATGTTGAAACATGCAAATATATAGATGGTCCTGTGTGTTGCTGAACCTGCCCTTTGCGACTTTGGGGTTCCATACTCTCAGCCTTCATCCTCGCGATGGCTGTGGCGAAGCGTGCTTTTTGATCTTGAAGCCTCAGCGGCAACCTACACCATACCAAAAACTTAAGAAGAACCATGCATTCGCATGCATTGTCAATCGGGGTCAGCCATTAAGGTCTTCAATTTTATAGGTTTAAATTGCTCATGGATGCAGGAATTTGAGGTTTGTGCCGTGCCAATTTTTCTTTTGCAGCTGCCAAGGCTTCTTGAATTGCTGGAAGGGCCGTCGGAATGGTCACGGCCAAAGCTGGATCACCTTAAAATTACAATCCACAAAAGAGCAAATGAGGACACTGCATGTGATGTGTGTTCTAGAACATTTCTCTTCCATGCGCATGCGCTTCCCAACATGCAGTTAAGTGTCACAAACCACCTTGGAAGGTCTACAGAACGAAACAAGTGGTCCGAGTCCATACCTGGGTTCCGGACTTTCGTCCGCAGGTTGTTCAGCCGGCGGATCTTGCACTGGCTGATGTGGAGGACTCCGACCCGGGGATTCCAGGAAGATGGGCTGAGAGTCTGGGGAAGGCAAGGCATTTGATACGGGGATGTCTTGCCCAACAATTTCACCCGTGATCTCGACATCTGAGTCTTGGTCATCCTTACCAGCATCAGACTCATCATCGTTGGCCTCAGACTCCTCGTCATAGGTGTCCGGGTCATCAGGCTGGCCCCCCTGGCAACAAACCGTTTTTTTGTGCAACACAGCCACCGTTCATGATTGCATCCATCATGAGCAAAGTGTGTCTATTGATCAAACAGGGCATGCGGACGTCCATCAACTGTTTTTGCTTTCGTCGCTCTTCGACTTTGGCATTGACATCGTCCACCGTTTCCTGCGATATACATGCCAGTTCTTGGTTTCAAAGGTCCAGGTATTGATTTTGAAGGTCATCCCAAAAACAGTCAGAGCTGACAGCATGTGAGAATATTCATTTTCACATATTCTCACCAGTGTCCTGGAGCATAGGGTTGAGGATTAGGCAAAGTTCCTGGAATCGCTGTGCCTTAGCTATGGACTGGCACAACGTGGCCTATATAACAGATCAACTCTCCACGTGAGTCAATATAGGAAATGCGACGCCATACAGTTAACAAATATACCACATACGTTTACGAGCCAACGTGAAACAGATAAACGCATTCAAAGTGCTGTTGACACCTTGTGCCTCCTCACCTTCATTTTCAAGAAAGAAATGAACTTGCGTAACATCCATGCATCTGCATGAACTGTGGGTTCTTCAACTTGTCGACCACAAGATTCATACAACTTCTGGACCTCCTGTCTCAGGGGAACGATGGGTGGGACTGGATGGTCCTCAAAGGTTGCCATGTGGATCACTGTGGTCTTCACAACCTCAAAGATCGGGTCAACGCACACAGACTTCACGCTCTCCACACAGTTCTCCGGGAAAAGGGTCTCATTGCCCGATCTGAGGAACTTCCTAATCACCTCGTTGGATTCCAACTCGCTCGCCAATCCACCCATATCAATCCGCGGTTCCGCCGCGGTCCGTGGCATGGTGGTAGCAAAGCGGAATCCCAAAGCCAAAATGAGCTGCGCTCATTGAGTGACAACTTTTGTAGACTCATGTGTTTCAACACGATAATTATTATCAAAATATATAGGAACAGACTGCCCATCTCATTAATTGGAAATGCTCTCAGCTGGTACCATCCCTGCTCCACGACCCAGGAGCCCGCCTCGTCGAAGAGATCCAGCGGATGGAAAACATTGGATGCGCATCATCACGGTGTGTTGCCGTGACAGGGAGGGTTGTTCATGAAACCATTGTCATCCACGGCCCTGTTTGCATGGAGGGTTCATCATGTTGTGACGCTTCGAACCATGCAATCTGAAGAACATTCTTCTTGTTTGCTTCTGATTGGTGATGACCCTTGATCCATGCTTGCAGTGAGGCCCTTGTGGCCTCAAACGGCACCAAACTTCTGTATAACTATGGCTACATGCAATCATTCCTGAAGAACCGGGTTCTTAAGAGAAGAACCGGGTTTTTACCATCATGTCTCTGTGAAACCGGGTTCTGCACAGAGAACCTTCTTTTTTCTAGGTTCCAGGTTCTATAGGTAAATCAAAAAAAGTCAGGCGGGACAATATTTGTGGCAACATTGTGAGAATTTGAATGTTTTTTAATTACTATTTCTGGGACTTAACCCATGCTGCAGATGCAATTTCGATGCTTACAATAGTTTTTTTGTTTGTGTGTTTGCGCCTTGTCAGTGTGATATTGAACAGTTGTCTGAGTTGTGAGGCGTTTTCAGGATATCTGAACCAACTTAGAATCCTATGTCTTCAACAAAAAAATTCTATTTATCTCTTTCATCCATTCTCTTCTAGGGCCCTGAAAAATGAGAAAAATCGATTTTCCACACACTTCATTCGCGAAGGCAATCAGCATCTGAACAACATGTGTATGATGATGGTTTGCAAATAGAGTCTTCTGCTTTCTTGATGGGCATTGCGTCGATTAGGCCGAGTCATCAGGGGATTAGGCCGAGTCATCAGGCGACTTCATCATCAGTGCCATTGACAAAAAGAACCACCAGAGTTGAAATACACCTGTTTGGTCTTCGGACATGTTCATCCGAGGGGCCATGCCATAAATGCATTCTCCACTTTTCAATGAATTTGTCAGAAAGTGTAATACACACACTCCATGTATTATGGCATATGCATTGATCTGCATTTGACCTCTCTAATCACCCCTTCAAGTGGCTTAGTCCATGAGAGTAAAACACACAAAAAATAGTTCTTCCTCAGGGTTCCCATGTCTTCAGTCTTCAGTCGCTTCAGTTCGGCTGGTGGCCAGGTATCACACCCAAGGAAGAGATTCTAACGGAAACCCATGTAGCGTTTTCTGTGATCCCAGCACGTCCGTCAAACAAGTGGGTCCCACGAGGGCGTCGTGAGAGGTGTTCACCAGAAAAATTCAATCACCTAGATCAGAGAAGGATTAGATCAGAGCAGGGTCGCATGAAATTTTATGTTTTTTATTTTTTTGCATTTTTTCACATGTTTTGATCAATTTTCCACATTTTTAAACATATTTTCACATTTTAAAGCATCTTTTCACATGTTTTCATTTTATTTTGTTTCTTTCTTTTAATGTTACTTTCTTTTGGGACAACACCTCAAACACAACATGGTTAATCAAATTGTGTTTCTTGGGGAGAAGTTATCCTAACAGCTGAACACAACTGACCGCAGCAGTCATATCACGCTCCAGTTTGCATGTGAAATTATGTGTTTGCATCTTTTTGCATATTTTCTCATGTTTCGAGATTTTTTGAGTTGTCAAAATGATTTTTCCTTTTATCCCCTCGAGATTTTTTGAGATGTTTCGAGATTTTTCGAGATGTTTCGAGATTTTTTGAGATTTTTCGAGATTTTTTGAGATGATTGTTGCTAAGATTTTCATTTAAAACATTTTTTCATTTTTTTGCATTTTAAATCTCTTATCGAGATTTTAAATCTCTTTGGAAAGTATTCCGTTCCAAACCTCTCCGGTGAAGGTTATTGAATTTTTTCGGTGAGGTGTGCTATTTTTTGGTCGTGCTTCGTGAAAACACGGGCTGGGGGGGTGGGGGGGGCAATGGCGTCGATTTTCTTTAGTTCGTTCACTTGAAGATAACTTCGTACTTCGTTTATTTTAAAACAACTTCGTAACTTCGTTTGCTTTACAGCGGCGGTACTCCTGCGTGGCCTACAAAGGCAAAGGAAGCTCACAATAAACTAAAGACAGTGCAGGTGAAACATGTGAAGCAACAGTTGACGAAGAAACTCAAAAAGAAGCCTACACCCACGTCGTCGAAGATATATAGGTGGAACACAACTGGCTGACAGCTCATGGAAGAGCTTGAAAGCTTGGATACCCAAGCATGTGAATACAACCTTTGCAAAGAGTCGAGCTGTCAATCCGGAACTCTTGAACTATGTTTGGAGTTGGCAGCTTCCGTACGACAACAGAGGCAATGATCTCTTCCGAGCAGGCAGCGCCGCAAACGCCTAAATATATCAAACACTTCTCCGAAAACGATGTTTCGCCTGCAAATTGAATACATTTAGCAAACAACAAAAAACAAAAAACTCTTGCTAGAAAACGAACAAAGCGCAAAAACGATGACTCTCATTTCATGAGACTTTGCGTACACCAACCATGCAAATTAGCGCGACGCCTTCGCGACGTCCATCCCTTTTGTTTTTCATCCAAGCATCTAAGCCATCCTTCTTCGCAGCCTTGTAGAGGTCCAGCATCGGGCCCCTGGGCTGAGCCGATGTGATCAAGGACCGTCTCACCTATGTCCCCCCAAATCCCCACCCAAAAAGGATCTGGACACGACACAACCCTGCTTACATCTGCTTACAGTCCAATTGCATGTTTTTGTGATTGATGTTTTCTGTGAAGCAACCACATTGCACCACTGCCAGGCCCCTTCTTTGAGGCGGCTTTGTGCACTACCCCCTGGAGTCTTCCTTGGTGGCCGCGGGATGTCATCGTGACATGGCGAAAGGTGCAACGAAGAGATGCTGCTATGATTGGGCCTTGACTTCCCTTCAAAGGAACAAGTTGCAGCATGCCCTATGTGGAAACGGGGCAGGTGGGTCGCGCACCACTGCGCGAAAGAGAAAAGAGAGCGAAGTGCGAGCAGATCCAGTTGCGGGTTTTGATTTGTCTCAGCTTGCTCCACTGCTCATGCTTTTGCAGCAGGTTTTAGCTTTGGTTAACAGCGGCAGTTTTGATTTGCAAGACGTGTTGCAAAAGTTAGGTGCTGTGATGAACGGTTCTTCCAAGAAGGGAGGGACTAACACACCGACCAAAAAGAGGCGCAAGAAAAGAAAGTCCAAGCGTGTGCTTGCTCCGCCCTCCCATGCTGTGCAGCCATTTTCTGAAAGGACTTTTGCCGATTCGAAACAGCAGCTTGACAAAGCTGCGCCATCTAAGCCAGACAAAGGGTCGACCGACCCACATCCTGCGGGTCGCACATTTGCGCAAGTTGCAGGAGCTGCAGGTGAGAAGCAGGTTTTCCAACCGGTATGGCAACTGAGGCCTTCAGATTGGGACGCCAGCATTTTGTCCATTGATGAAATCACGCATAGGATTTGTGAAAAGAGCCCTGCCAAACTTCAGGCAGTGTCCTTTGTGCAGAATGATAGCGAACTGGACGAACTTCGTACTCTGCTATCTGGATTTGAGGATGCCAGTCATGAACTTGGTATCACCGCAATCATGTTGGCAACAAAGGGTGACACACCAAAGCAAGATGGTGAAATCATCCAGGTGCCAGGCAAGAGGCAAGGCAAAGTGACACCGAGAATGGCACACGTCGTGAAGCTTGGTTCCAATTGCCCGTCCTTGAAGAGAACAATTCGACGCATCGAATCTACCCCGGAGATGGTCAAAACAGTCGTGCTTCGACTCGCCACTGAGGCACGCTACCACGATGAAAGCAAGTGGAAGGCCATCCTTGAGCACTCATCACATGCTGCGCACAAGTGGTTGCATTCCAACTTGCCTGCTGTAATGCAGCGCAAAGTCAGAGACACTTGGGGATGGCAATTGGAATCCTCAAAGGGTGGTGGAAAAGCGTTGGTCACTGCTATGGTTCGTGTGGAGCACACAGCGGTCAACTCCATGCTTTCCCTCTCAGGTAAAGAGTCTTGGTTTATCGAGCCTTTGCGCTGGGATCAGCCTGATGTGCCTGCTTGTGAAGTCAAGTGGGTTAAAAGGAACCCCGAAGAGCCGGGACCTCAGTATGCAAACCGAGTACATGCAGAGGCTGGGAACCTTGGAGTTGCCCGGGGTTGGAAAAGCCTCGGTGTTCGTGTGCCTCGGGGATCTGAGACAAGAAGCAAGACCCGTACCAAAACATGGAGGGTCACTGGGGTTCCAAGTGATTGGAGCCACGAGCCAGTCTTCGCAGAACTTCAGGCAGCTGGCCTGTCCAACTTGCAGCTGACGAGTCGCAAGTCTTATGGCAGAAAAGCAACGCTTTTTCTAACAGCCTCCTGTGAGAATGATGTTGATTTTGTTGAAATTCGTTTCGAAGGAAGCCCCATGATTGCAACAGCTTTCAACCCTGCCAAGCATCACCGGAGTGAGCGCAAGCCCCTGAAGTCTGGTAGTGGCCTGTCTTTTGCTCCTGATGCCTTCCCGTCCGAGACAGATACCCATGGCAAATCGGTGAGAACTTCCTTCTATGTTGCTTCACCGGTGAAGAAGAAGCAAAAAGTTGAAGAGGTTGCTGAAACCCAGCTAGATGCAAGCCAACCGGATTCATCTATGGATACCAGAGAACCTGCAGAAGCGACTTCACCCCGTGAGGGCGCTGCAGGAAAGCGAGCAGCCGGTTCGCCCAACAAGGGCGATGATTGTGCGCCCAGGTCCAAAGTTCTTAAGCGACCAGTGCCGAGTGGTATGAGTCGTGTGAAGAATGCTGGGCAAGGGAATTGTCTGTTTGAAGCCATCGGTCAGGCTTTGAGTCCGAACAAGCCGAAGCATGGCCGAACTGTCCGTGCTGCAATTGTGACCCATTTGCGACGTCACTCAGACCGCTACCAGCCTTGGTGGGACGCTTTGGGGCCTGACGGCAAGTCTTGTGACAGTTTTGACGCCTACCTCAAGCTCCTCAATAAGCCTGGCGCTTGGGCGGGCTGTTTGGAGATCGCCGCCGCCGCGGCGCACTATGACAAAGCCATTTACGTTTTTGGTCCTGTCTTGCAGTCCCATGTTGAGGGATACAATACGTCTTGTGCCAATGGTTATCTCTCTTCGTGGTATGAGGATAACCATTACGAGTGGCTCAAAGGTCCGGTTCCCGATGATGTCCGCAAAAATGTTTGCAATGGTCCTTTGCAAGGCGGGCGGGGAGGCGCGACCTCCAGCAAAGTTTCGACTTCTGCATCTGGGCGCACGAGGTCCTCTGCGTTGCCGCCCCCCTCCAAGTTTTGGCGGGCGTACCAGAAAGTCTGCCTTGCCTGACCTCCCGGTGCCCTCTGTTCTCAGTGCTCAGCGGAACACCCAGGTGTCAGCAAAGTCTGTGAGCAGCAGCCGTTGTCTTGATGAGGTTGATCTTGCTGATCGTGATGACATGCCGGATCCTCCACCAGTTACGTCCGCCAGGGACAAGAATCAGCCGCAAGATTGGGTTTGCCCTGAATGTGGATTCAGAACTGGTCTCCATAAGAATTGGAGCAAAATCCGTAGGAACCATGTGGTGACTTGGCATGCTGAGAAGAAGAATTTCTACAACCGACACAGAGTCGCTGACCTGATCCCATGGGATCCCGACCTTTGCTCTTGGAAATGCCCGCTGTGCGCTTCGGGTGTCCCAAAGACTGTCAGCGATGTTGATATGCATTACAGAATGCGTTTGGCTCACCGTGATAGATGCCACCCCAGGGCCAAACGCCTGCGTTTCGTGCGTGCCCGAGGCAGCAGTGCCAATGCAAGAAGTGTAAGGCCTTGGCAAGCTCCGTCAAGAAGCTTTCAAGCGTGAGATGCGATGCCTCCTTCAAAGGAGGTCCGAAGCGAAAGCAGCTGATTGCTAGTTTGCAAAAGTTTGCTGATAAGCTCAGTGTAGGTTCGCAGGAGCACACCGCAACCTTGCAGGTGGTTTCGAAGATTTCTCCTCCTGCCAATGTGGATGAGCTGGTCCCAAGAGCCCACAATGTGGTCCAGGTCCAGACGCCAGGCAAACGCAAGCAGGCCGCTTTGTTCTGCACTCGCTGCCGTCGCCTGTCTGCCACAAAGAAGCATTTGAATAAGTTCAACTGCAGTTCAGCAGCGGTTTGGTCCCCTGCGCGTGAGCGGGTCTTGCGACAGGTCGATGAAAACGCAAAGGGAGCCAAAGGCAAACGCTTGAAAGCGTTAAGTGAGCTGACTGATTTGCTCACTGGGAAGGCGACTAGCAGCTCAACCCCATGACTGTACTTGAAGCTGCCAATGGGGGACAACGATGTCCCAAGCATGATGGTGCCTTGCGAATCGCCACACTCAATGTGCGTTCTCTCAAGGGCAAAATGCCCGAAGTGTTGCAACTGGCTGACAGCTTGTCAGTCGATATTTTGTGTCTGCAGGAAGTCAGACTTTCTGAAGATAACTTGCTGGCCGCGTCTCACGCAGCCAAGCGCAGTGGTTGGCAATTTTTCGCTAGCCCTTGCGCTATGAACAATGCGGGAGCACCTACTGCCGGTGTTGCCATACTTAGCAAATGGCCTGTTGACAAATATGTGTTACCTGACCCCTCCTGTGTTCTCCGGGCACAACAAGGCAGGTGGCAAATCATGAGAGTGCACAGGCCTGGTTCACGGCCTTTTTTGTGCGTCAACCTTTATTTGCATGCTTCGGATAAGATGCAAGCCCGGAACTTAGGTAAGAGTCTCTTTGAGGCGATCGCTGTCAGCGGTGAAGATTGCATCTTCATAGGTGACTGGAACTGCACCGCTGAAGAAGAGCCTGTGTGTTCAGTTCTTCGCAGTGGGTGTTTGCATATGGCCGATGATGTGGCTGGCATTGGAACCCTAGCCATTCCGACTCACGACAAAGGTCGGCATATTGACTTTGCTTTACACTCTATAGGTCTTGTCCCTTGCGCCAGAAGCCAGTCCGCAGGGATTGCTGACCACTGCGCAGTCATGTATGATTTTGCGGTTGCCGGTTTGGAGCCTTGTTTCAAAGTCCCTCCTCCTAAGACCTTAAAGGCAAAAGAACCCGTCGAGCAAGAGCGGTGGGATGCTTCTTTTCCTCTTGAACGGTTTGATTTGTTGTTAGCGCAGCAGGATGTTCAGCGTGCTTGGAATTTGTTAAGTGACCATGCCGAGTCTCTTTAGCAACCCCATTCGGTAGGTCGTTCACGCACGACAGTTCCTGGTCCCACATGTGTTGCCACAGCGCCCACTAAGGTCGAAAGACTTCAGACTGTGTTGGAGCGTCGCCTCCGTCGCACCCTGCGACGTCTGGCAGAGCTGCAAAAGACTGATGCTGATTGGAGCTTGGCACGTAAAGTGCTGAATGCGCTGCCGCACTTGCAAAAGCATTTTCCTGAGCTCACTGAGGTTCAGAATCTGGACACAAATCTTATCGCTGTCCTCGAGCAATGCTTGCAGAAAGAAATATGTGCTAGTCGGGAAGCTCGGCTGCAGTCCTGGAAGCGTAAAATGGAGGAAGACGAGTCTTCCCTTGTTCGATGGGTGAAAGGAGCTGACAAGGTTTCTTGCTTTGCCACTGACGACTCTCGGGTCCCGGTGCACCCACAGCGCAAAGCCGAACATTTTGCAAATTTTTGGCAGAAAGTTTGGTCCCCGCCTTCCCTGGCTCAAGAAGAGGCTGTTGACCCTTTCTTGGATTGGATCCCGCCCGGGGGTTTTTCTTGCTCAGAGCCAAATTTCACACCTGCAAATCTCAGATCTCAGGTACGAAAAGCTGTTGGCAAGGCCCATGGGCCTGACGGTTGGACGGGTGACTCATGGTCCTTGTTGCCCATGGGTTTCTTTGATGCCTTGGCCAAGTTGTGGAATGTGGTTATGAAAACGGCGCGCTTGCCATACCAGTGGCACTCAGTTCGTTGCGTTTTGATTCCCAAAGAGGTCGGACTCCGACCCATCAGCATTGCAGCCCTTGCCTGGCGAACTGGCATAGGTGTCCTTGCTCAGCAGCTGGCTCATTGGATTGATTCATGGGCCCCTGATGAACTTGTGGGCGGTTTGAAAGGCCGATCTTCAGCTACTGCGCATGAACAATTGCATGAGAGCATAGCTTGGCCCAAGGTTTTTGGAGCTAAGATCGACATTGCCAAATGCTTCGACCATGTCGATGTTAAGCAAGCTCTTCGTGTCTGGTCCAAGTTGGGGGCACCTCACACTGTGGTGGCTGTCCTCCAATCCTTTTATGACAAACAGACGAAAACCATGGAATGGTTAGGTTCTTCCACTAAACCTTTTGGTTGTTCTCGAGGCCTTTTGCAGGGTTGTCCCTTGAGTTGCGGTCTGCTAGCCGGCCTGATGACGGTGTGGTATTGGCACATTAAAGCCAGTGCACCCCAAGTCTGTGTCTCTGTTTTTATTGATGACAGAACCCTGTGGAGCTCCGATTGGCGTCAGCTTTGTCTGTCACTCGAAGCGTCCAGTAGGATTGAAGAGGCTTTGGGCTTGAGTCTGAATCACTCCAAATGCGAGCTTTTTTGTAAGTGTTCTTCATTTCAGCTCGTTTCAGTGAAACGGTGGAATCATGAGTCCCACCGGAACTGGAAAGTTTGCAGACAATTTAAGCTCCTTGGTGTCCACTACTCTCTCTCCAAGCGTCGGCGCACACCTGTAGAGGACACTGTGACTCGCAAGGTTTCTGCGCGACTGCGCAGACTTCGGACCGCAACCAGCAACCAGAGAAACAAACGCAAGCTCACGCGCAGTTTGGTGTTGTCTTTGTTTGCTCATTCGGGGCCGTGGACAACTGTGTCCAAAAAGCTCTTGAATCAGTGGCGTAACACCATTGAGCAAACCATCATCGGCCGTGCCGTGCCGGGCAGGTCTCGTTTTCTGCTTTGGCAGTATTTAGGTCCGGATCTTTGTCCTGAATTCGCGTTGGACAGGCGGGTAGTCTTTCATGAGCTTTGGAAAGTCAGACGTGCTGTCTCAAGTTGCTGTTCCCTGCTCGACATCGAGCAGGTGTGTGCCGCTATGCCCCAACCTTCGACCTCTTACCGATTGGCAGAAGTTTTGAACAAGTGGCAGTGGCAGCACATCTCGCAGAGTCGTTTCCGCACCCCGCAGGGGGACCTTGATTTGGCATTTGACGGGTTGCCGGCAATCAAAGAGGCCATGAGACACGCATGGCTGGCGTACCTTTGGAGAAACGAGCCCCGCGCGCAAGATGACACGGAGGTTTGTCAACGTGTTTTGCCAGTCTACCAGGCGCATTCAGCTTGGATGCGTCAGGGCGTCTCTGATTGGGAGTCCTTCTGCATTGCGGTCGGCGCTGGCAAAGATAGTCGTAAACTCGCCAAGCAGCATGAGCTTGAGTCCTTCAATTGTGCATGCGGGAGGGAATGGCCTTCACGCACACATGTCACGTGGCATTGTCCTTCTTGCCCAGGGTTGCCTGAGGCTTCTCGGCCTACACGCAAAGCTGAGGAACGTTTGCTCGTTCCTAGCATCCAACTTCCTCCCATACCTGATGAAAGGTGTAGCCAGTTTTTGCGACCGGATCCGAATTTGTGTGATCTTTTTCGTAGGACTGCCACGGCCGACCAGGTACTTTTGGTAGCTTCCGATGGTAGTTCTCAAAAGGTCCAGAATCTGCGCAGGGCTGCTTGGAGTGTCGCAACAACCGACCGGGTTTTTGCTGCCCGTCTCCAGGGACTGGATCAAAACATTTTTGGCGCTGAATCGGTTGCTGTTTTGAAAGCTTTCATTGCTGCGACTCATTTGCGCGTAGATCTTCTGTTGGTTTGCGATAACCTTGCAGTCGTCAGACGTGTGAAGCAAATCCAAACGACGGGATATTTGCCTCAGTGGGCGCCGGGCCTGTGGAAGGCCTTAAGCTTAGTTTGCTCCACCCACGAAATTGCGTGGGTGCCTTCGCACGATAAGCTTCTTGATTGGACCCCGTCCCTTGCTGGCCACATGGCTGAGACTTGGAGACTCCTCAACAAGCGAGCCGACGCCAAAGCTCAGGAACAGGCCGCTCGGTCTGTGCACGAGCTTCTTGATTGGAAATTTACCTTTGATGCTGCAGTGGCCTGGTCTGCTTCAGCGCTTGATAGGCAGCGGAGTGCTTTGCGGTTCCTGAGGCGCCTCATCGCTCCTTCCGCACCCAGCTGTGATGTTCCTTCTGTTGGCTTGTCAGCTTGACGGAAGCATGAGTTGACATGGTTTTGCTGTCTTCGCTGCAGCAGTCACTTTGCCTTCGCAGGATTTTTGCTGGACATTGAAATCTACGGATAGACCACTATCTGCCTTTGGCGATTTCTTTTTTCGTTGGGCGCTTTGCGCCTGGAACACTGCCTCCAGCCATTCATTGCTATGAACCCAGGCTGTGGCAGAGCAAAACTACACACACACACACACACGCCCCTTCTTTGAGGACCTGTTTTGGTGTGGCCACGAGTTGCTACACTCCCAGAATGGGTTGAAGGGAACATCTGCAGGAAACCCATGATTCTCAGATTTTCATGTTCAACACTATGGGTTTACTGTAGGTGTTCCCTTCATAAGACTTCTCGAAAGATCAATTTTTTCGGGTTCGTCGTGGGCGGAGAGGTTGGTTTCACAGGATTCGGTCAGGTGAATCGGCACATAGGCCATGGTATGCCATGGTCCAGGTAGCAATAGGCCATGGACAACAGCACAGGAACCAATTGGTACGAGTAGGCGGATCTTAATCTGACTCCACCTCAGCTCCCCTGGAAAGTCAAGGTTGACCCTCTTCTGTTGCCTAACCTATCCTCAAGAAGGGTCTGGCCCTGCTATGGTTCACCTACATGGTGTGACGTCTGCCAGTCGAAGGGCTTCAGGCTTCAGGAACCAAAGGATCTTCCCCTAGGAAGGCCTAAACCAGCAGCAACCTCCGACAGCTTGATTTGTCCATCCTGACAACAGGAACCACCTCTCAGCATCTATCAGGGTCCCAAAAGAGGCTAAACAGGAGGGTTCTGGAAGATAAACAAAGTCACCCGAGAAGCAAAGACGGGTCGAGTGCCTTTCCAGATTTCCGAACCTCTGTTCTTCACTGTCATCTATCTTACAGTAAATGCTGGATAGCTTCACTCAGACCATGTGGGAAGTTCAACAGCCCACAGGTCAAACTTTTGTCGCACAACACACATCTGATCCGCCATGCGGCTCCGCCGATTCGGTTTTGGTGGTCAACTGGCCGCACTCGGAGCCAAGGAATGTAAACCCTCCAACTCACTTATTATATTTATTATTACATGGAAGTGGGAACATTTCGTATATACATGTATATTGGAAAACCTTGGTTTCGAGTGAGAACTCGTGAGCACCCTCAACTTAGAAGTGGTAAGTGAAAGTGGAGAACAACCTGTTTGTAAATGAACATGGTCTTCTACAGGAGCCCAGTGAGTCCCCGCTTCCATGTCAGTCAGTGAGTCAGAGTGTCTCTCGGCCCTGCTGGGACTTCGAAAGATTTTCCCAAATGAACAAATCGACCAACACCGAGTGAGGATGACATGTTGGCCGACAACATGACCACTTTGATATGGTGGATGGAGTTCAATATAGCAACTCCCCCTGGTCATTGGAATGGCCATTCTGATGGCCGGGCTAAGCGCCCAAACATCTCCTGTTTGGCGCAGGGGGAGGTCCCGAGGACTGTGAGACCACCAAGGAGTGTCGACACCTGCACCGTGGTTGCTGGTCCTTTGGAGTCGAAAGCTTGCATGAAAAACCCGATATTCCAGGCTGGAATGTCATCCAAGGCTCCATTGGTGGTCAATGAGTGTGAGATAGTGTGAGATAGTTGGAAGAAAACAAGCCCTTTGGAATCCTTTGGGTTAAGTATGGCCCTTTTGTGGGTTTTTGTCCACACCTACCACCCACTGCTACGCAGCGTGGCACGACACCAGTGACCCCGAAGAAGCACAGCGACACCGGAGACGCACAGCGACCCGCATCCATCTGAACCATAAAGAGTTCGCACGGGCACCGCACGCTGCACGGAACGCAGGAACGCATACGGGCACGCCACGGGCACGGGACCTAAAGATATTATCATCCCTTCGCACGGGCACCGCATGCAGCACGGAACGCACACACGCACACCCCGGCCGCACGGCACGGCACGGGCACGCAGGAAAATCCTCAATATGATCTGAAAGCCTCGTCCACGCGGTCGCGCAAATGTTGTCGAGCTTGCTTCCTTGGCCGAGCAAACCAAGGACTGCGACGGTGTGGGTGGAGAGGAAAGACCACGGTGAACCCCCTTTCCACCTTTGGATTGGAGTGGCCCCCCCCAAAAGAAGAGGTTCCAAGGCAGTCCACTTTTTCCTGGGTCGGGTATCCCCAATCTCCACGTCGAGTTACTCCTGAGGGGGCGTTCACTAGTACTGGTCGAAAAAAGAGACAGCCCCGAGCTAGTCAGCTAGTTGCCGCCACCCAAGTGGCGCTAGAGCACTGTAGCCTTCCTTCTGTGCACTGGCCGCCAGTCCACAAACGCCTCCATGCCATGGTTGCATGACACATGAGGTCCGTATGCAACCGGATTGGCTTATTCATTGTGTTTATCATTCAGCATCCACCACCCAGCACTCATGGCACGGCATGGAATACACAACCTAGCACTCTTCATGGCGGCATGCCGGTATGCTAAGGAAACCATACCATCATCCGTCATGAAAACGTCGCCTGGCCAATCTCCAGCGGCCAAGCGGGTGGGGAGCTGCGACCTTGGCGTCCAAAAGGGGAGTCAGAGTCCGGTTGGAGGTGGGAAGGGCAGTTTGGAAACAGGTTGGGTTGAATTGATTGAGTTGCTTGCTTTGCTTTGGGTTGGTTGGATGGGTTGGGTTGGTTCTTCTACCTGAGGCCGCCTCAAGACTCATCCCGCCTCACCCACCGCATCAAACCACGAATCGGGGATGGCGCAGACCGAGCCACATGAGGCTTAGCAAATGTCCGGCTTGGTCGCTCACCGTCTTCTGGTGCTTCTGATCCTCAGCTCGCTGCACCGTCTGTGACGAAGGTGTGAAGGAGGCGTTTTTCGGACCGAGGTGGCGACGCAACGGAAAATGAACATGACAAATCTTAGGCGTCCACATTGACAAATTGAAGGGATCAAGAGTGATCTTGCTGGTCATGAGCATGTTGGACAACATGTTATGTTGGAAGTGCTTGTCAAATTATTGGCGGAAAAACTTCTAAACTGCCCAGGCTATCAACTCCTTGGAAAGACTATCCGCGCTGCACACAAACACCGAAACCACAAGAAAGGCCGGAATGTCTACAACCACCTCTGCCACCAGCCATTATTGCTTTCGTTCAAGAACCTTGCTTAACCTCTTCTGAGGTCTTGCTCCAATCCTGGAACTCTGAACCAAAAACCTTTTGAAAACCTTAAACGCACATCAAATCATTGATCATGTTCAATCAATATGCAAGCGCAAGGGAAGTGAATTATACAAATTGTTTATTGTGTGGGAACAATGCGCAAGCTTGGAGCCCAGATCAGCCCAGCATCCCGTAGCAACGTCAGCTGCTTCTCATCCTCAGAGAATCCAACGGAGTCTGCAAGCATCTGATTCGCCAGTTCTACTGGGCGTCATCTGCATCAATAGCTTCCACATCAAAAACCAGCAAAGCTCAAATATCAGCACAGCACATCACAAGTTCATATACCAGGACCTTCCAACATGGGTGATGTTAGGATGACACCTCCCTCGGTAAGGCGTCCAGAAAAAATAGAGGGGCCTACCAAGATATTGCGGATGAACCATGCGGCATATGACATAGACCTGCTATTGGGATCTATTTGGCCTGGTAAAAGCTATTCGGAACTCGAACATAGGGCATCTGTCTCTTCGGAACTCCCGAGATGCCCAAGCATGGTGATTTCAACGATCCCCAATGCGAACAATATGAGTCAGTGGGTGAAGAATCCCAATTTATCCCACTGACTCATAAGGTTGAACATAACAATATCCGAAACCACCACCTAGAAAAGAACATGAGCGTCTTCCAGCGAACATGTGCTGGAAGCACATGACATGGGATTGGAGTCATCCTCATCTCTTTTCAGATGGTCTTCTTTGGGTGCGTGCCCTCCGTTCCCCCAATCTCGTTTACAAATCAATAGGTCCTGGTGCCTCCCTGGTGCCTCGCAGGCTGTCCAATTGATCCTTTCCTGCTTGCAAGCATATATAAATGCATATCTGATCATATCTCTGCTATCCATGCGTCTCCAGATTGTTTGGCCTCCTCCAGAGTGCGCGTCAGCATCTTCAATGCCTGCACTGACACCGTTCGATGAAGAAGGGTTTTGGCCAAAGCCATAAGAGCTCACCCGCTGCTCAACACCAAAGTCATAGTGTGCTTGCTATATAAGATATCTGGGGTGTGGACGGTGGGGGGTGGCATCTGGCTCCTGTCAACACCAAAGGCTGGCAAGTTGATCTCACCTCCGCTGCCAACGTTGAAAACACAACTTACGCTGAAAACACAATGACACACTCCTGCCCATCGATCCTCCATAGCCCCGCGTAGCTGGCTACGCCGCGTGGCCTGCTTCCGCAAGTTCTCCGAGCGCTTCGCTGATTGCTCGTAGGCCTTCAATGCCTGCGAGACAGAGCCAAACCAGAGTGATCCGCCATACAACCCGAGGGTTACCTCATCCAAGGCTTCCTCATCACCCTTTCCACAGATGATCTGTCATTATTCTTACTTCAAAAGTCTATGAGTCTGAAACATTCTGTTTCATGATCATGCAAGTCTTGGATACTTGGTCTTCTCATGGCTGGTGTGCATGGCATGAACACACAATTATTTGGACACTCTTCTGCACTACATGTTCCACAACATGCCATGCTATACCACAATATCAAACATCACGAAACGCATTTGCACCACATTTACACATAATCCTCAACATCCACCCACGTTCACCAACACCCCAGCGACAATCCCAAGCATGAAAAAGCACGTGCCACACAAATTTAAAAAAAACGATTCAAAACACTGCAAAACTGACCAAACATTCAAACAAACAACATTCCACCCCCAAAAAAGTCCCAAACTTAAACAATATTCCAAACAAACATCCAAATTTCCGAAACCATTCCACAATATTTGGAGAAAGCTGTTTTTCAACGCAATTAATGAGGACACATCGAAACTTTCCTCATTTCCTACTTGTTTATTAATACTACTGTGTCAATATAACTCATGTGCATTACAATCAATTTGCTTTCACTATGATCACCGAATTCTCAGCCACATGTGTGAACATGTGGGACGAAGAACTGAATGAACGATGTTGATTCATGTTTTCCGAAATCCAAAGCCATGCTTGCCGCTTGCCATGCGTTTTCCTCCCATAAGTCCCCGAAAGACCCCCCCAAAAGGCTATACTATAACATGCTATAACAGTCCTCAACTTCAGTATGAAACCACAAAAACATGGTGGAGTGGAGTCCCCTTCGAACACACTGTGTGTTTCTTTTTGGGGGGGGAGCTTGAGCCACCATTGCCAAATTCACAAGAATCCGCACAAACCGTCCTGTCTCCATCTCCCCGGAGACATGAAGGGCAGGGGCACAACAAACGGATAAAATACTGACTCCCCAAGTTCTCCTGGCAAATCAAGGTTACAGCCTAGCCTTCCACCGGTCCATGTGCGGTGGGTAAACCAATCTCCAAACAAGCTGTTGATCCACTTTTCCTGGGTAGGAATGACGGGGCTTCGCGCCGTGCCACGCACACCCACGAGTCAACCCGCGCGTGAATTGGTCGTCCCAAAGAGCTGAGTTCCACACCGCCGGGGAGTCAACCCGCCTTCTCGGCGTCGGCGGGCGCGTCGGTCGCCGCTTTGAAGATCGCCTCGGCGTCGGTGCAAACAGTTGGGTGAGAAGCAGTTGGGTGAAGTCACCCTCCCCAAGCACTCTATGAGCTGTAAGGAACAAATCAGTAGATGATATGTCTAAATTCACCTCTTTTCGATCACCCCCAATGTAGGCAATACATGAAGCCTCTGGTATGGAGTGGCTTGATCCATTCCCGGTCTCGCTCAAAGTAAGTGGGCTTCAGGTCGTTAAATGAGAAATCACCCTCACTTCCCTCTTCCAAGTGGTGGGTTAGAAAAAATCTCTTCTAGGAGTCGCACAGGGGCGTTTTTGCGTCCCATCCAGTGGATAATGGGCACCCCTATCCTGCAACAGGCATCCCTTTGTGACTCCTGGTTTGGATCTCTTTGGGAACACCTTCTTTTTTCCTCTTCCCCTGCCAGTGGAGGCAACGAATCCAGGGGCTCCACGTCCGGTGTTTAGGGGTGCGAGGCTCGCCAACACATGGAGCCCTCGGGCAAAAAGACATCCTTGTACAATCTAGGAGATCGTGTGCCTAGCGGTCGTGTGCATCATCAGGCAGGACCACCATGGCACTTTCGACTGGTCGAAAAGAGCCCCGGCATCTGAAGACTCCCACCACTGCATCCCAGTTGTTACTCCATCGGCGTCGATGGTAGCAAGGAGACTAAGGAGACCCCACTGGGCTTGGGAGGAACCACTGGGCCAGCCTACGAATTGGTCGTCTCCATTTTCTGAGGTTCCTACCCCCCCTGGATGGAATTGATGCCGTCTCTTGACCGAATGGCACTGAAGAAGCGATTGCAGGCAGGTGGCATCGGCGTTCAGCTTTGCCTGGATCTTTTCACCAATTTCCTTCGCATCCTTAGTTGGCACTTTGGCCCATCAGCTCGCAACATGCTTTCCAAAAAGGTCATATGGGTCACCTTCTATGACTCTATACATGGCAGCTCTTTAGCTTAAAACCACTTGATGTTGATGCTTAAAACCACAGGACCAACATACATATCAACAAAACAGCAAATCTGAAACCTGGGCTTGCAACGTACATGTACAGGACCTATTCTTTACTTTTTAAAGCTATGGCTATGGCTATAGCCCTCATCTCAGCTTCTCAAGTTGACAAACACAGCAAAACCTATTCTACAGTCTTCGCGGAGGAATTGAGAAGCCGGAGAAAGCATGCAGGTTTTGTCAGGGAGCCGCAGATCTTTGTTGGAGACGCCCTGACGCCCCTCTTTCTCTCCACCAAGCCACCAGCTTCTGAGCTTCCTCCGCAGCCTTCTCAGCGTCCTGGACGGCGCTTCCGGACGAAGCAACACGGGTCTCCAGCGATGGATCGAGATCATCGATGGAGACAAGTCCTGGTTGTTTTGCCGCGAAAGCGGGGATGATGAGGAGCCATCTATTCAAACAAACCTCATTGGTCATTTTCAGGGCAGTATTTTTGTGCTTGTGGTGTGAGTGATAGACTTGGTACTGTAGCATGATATTGGTAGACTTGCACGCAGCTAGGCTATGTTTCTTCCATCCGCCAAGCTGTGACACATGAAAACAAATGGTTTGCATACCTTATACTGTTCATCAACAAGTATGGAAGAGTGACACCTCGCACTAATTCTTGCGCCCACGGTTTTTTCTGCATAGCACCGTTCGTAGCACCAACAAGGAACCAGGTTCCGGACATGAATGCAAACCTGCTCCTCTCCCGGCGAAGAAGTGTGTGCTTCACTGGTCTTCTATCGCCCCGGCTCCGCAACGCCCACCCCCGTGTGACGGCGCGGTGCCTTGGGAGCGTGTTCCGGGCCGGCATCCCACTTCTTCAGCCACTCCTCGGTTCGTCGAGTCCAACCTGGTGAGAACCTGCGCGTTGTCCGGGTCCAGTGTGATCGAAGAAAAGGCTAAAGCGCAAAAAGTGCAGGAGGGGGGAAGGGGGTGAAGGTAATGAATTCGGAAGAGTAAACATCGGGACTGGCTTCAAACGATTCAGAAGTTGGGTGAAGTCACCTTACCCCACTGGAGTGGGACATGAATGAGATGCCTACACGGGCGTCTCCATTCTTTTACACCCCACCTCTACCCTGACACTGTCACCTGCCGAGCGAATATTGAATAGAGCCTGAATAATGAAGCTCATGCACCATGGACGTTTAAGGATGTGTTTGGCCCTAGTTAGGGGGAGAGGTAGTCAGGGGGGCTTCTGAAGCCCTTGAAATACGCCAAGTGTCATGGTGTTTATGGGGTCCTTTTCAGGCTGAATTCAAAACCTCAGAAACCCCTCTCATCTCTGGGTGGCCAAGTCCTGCTGTTTTTGAGGTACCAAAGCCTGAGATGGTCCCCAACGACCTGGAGCTGGTGGCTTCAAGCTGTGATAGGCAGGTGAAGATGTGTTGCGTTCGAGTGCGAGAATTAGGTGGTGAAGTTGATAGTTGATAGCCACCTAGGGACTTAGAGAGGTCGAACAACCCCAAAAGCCTATCCCATACCAGCACCTTCCAACAGGTCTCCTTTGGAGGGTTGTTAGGCCCTAACAGGTTTCAATTGGTGACCTGTTGGAGGTGCACGGTGCTGGTATATGATATGTATGTACTACATAGAGACAAGACAAAAGTGGGTAGTAACTAGCCTGAATATATATATATATATGACCTACAACCCGTTCACAATCCTATGGGGGATCACAGTGGGCGGAGTAATTTCCACCCTGAAGTAAACTTATAGTCAGTCAGTCACGTATGTAACGAGTAAATCACCCCAACGAGTCTCATTAAAGGTCCATGCGCTGGTCCCAGCTCGAGTCTCTGGGAATGATCAGCGAGGACTAAACTACCCAAACAATCCATGTCTGGAATAGCTATACCTACTTACCCGGAGGGTGGTTACCTAGGTTGTAAGTCAAAGCTAAGCACCCTCCGGTGATTGTGTCTTAAATGGGGCACATGTATGTACATGGATGGTCTGGGCTTGAAAAACTGCAAATGTGGAGAGCTAGTGCAAACGCCAATGCTCACCAGGGTGCGTTGAGCTTCTTCTGCGCTGATTTCAGTAGCCATTTCAGATCCTGACACCAGGCCTCAGGGTTTCGGTCTGCGTCTGGTCCCATCCAGGGACTTTTGGTGTGATCATCCACTAAAGTCAAGGTCTCCAGAAAAATAACTAGTATTAGTGATATATAAATTGTACAACTTTGGGCTTGGGGAGGATCACGTGAAGATCAAATGCATGAAACGTGTGTTGGACTCCGTAAAGGCAGGAAAGGCGGACACTATGAATCTGTTGGGGTACATATGTCCAAGTCATTCCAAGTCTATCTATTCTTGAAGGCTCCAATGACTGAAGTACATGTACATGTTGCACCCCGACTCTTTCAGCAAAACCCAGCTCGTGCAACTATGCCAATCAAACACCAACCTAAGCAATATAGTTGGGAAGGCCTATGAGATAAAAATACAGGTTCTGTACCCAGCTGTGTGGGGTTGCCAGCCTGAGTAAGGTAACTATGCCCCATCCAAGTCATGGTTCTTTGATGGAGTCGAGATGCACCAGCTTCATCCAAGTGTCTATCACACGGACCAATGGCACCAGCTCGTCTCCACTTCCCTCCAGCTGATTCAAGGCATCTTTCAGCGAGGCCTCCACGGAGCACTTCCTCAGCTGCTCGGCCTCTCTATGGCCTCATGAGGGGCCTCATGCCTCGCGTCGAATGGACTCAATGGGCTTCTCTCAAAGGAACAACGCTTCCTTCCAATCCAACTCCGGGCAGGAGGGGTGAGACTTGACATATGTGGTCCGTGAACCGTTTTGTCTTCAATAGTTCAAGCAATTGATCTCTGAACCAATGAACAAATCCCAAAATGCTCTCAAAATCTTTCAAACATGTTCAACAAACAGTCCTCTGCTTTCACCATTCTCAATAGTCTGTGTCTCTGGCCATCCGACCTATATATATAATCTATGCACCAGAGTCCCTAACGTCCTAAAGATGTGGGCCTGAGTCCACAATTTAACGATATATATATATAGAGTGTGTGTGTACAACAAGATAAAGTTACACATGTTTCAAACGACAACAAAAACATGTATATATATATATACACATACATAGAGAGAGTGTGTGTATAACGAGATATGGTTACACATGTTTCAATTGACAACAACAACTTATATATACATATAGAGAGTGTATAACGAGATAAAGTTTACACATGTTTCAATTGACAAGAAAACACTTACATATATATATAGAGAGAGAGTGTGTATACCGAGATAAAGTTACACATTGTTCAAATGACAGCAATAATCGTATATATATATATATATTGATGCATTATATATAGTCATTAGCTGCTATATATTCACCTATCTTCACTCACTGAAGCCACGCACCGATCATCACACCGATCGTCCATCTACGACACCAGCAACACTGACATCACACCAGCACCATTCACTCTCGTGTGTTCCTTGGTTTCCAAACATTTCACCTGTTGTTCAGTGGGGAAACCAATCCACAAACAAGGTTAATGGTTAGTTAAAGGTTATCCACTTTTCCTGAGTAGGTCTATGGAGATATGGAGACCAACTCTCAAAGAAGAGCCCCCTTTTCATTCGACAAACATCTTCTGCCAATCTTCTGCCAGAGATCGACTCAGTTGGAGATCTCTGGTGGGCCGACCCCCAGCCCCAGTACCCCAAGTCGCTAAAAGTGAAAACCACGAATGTAAATCATATTTGCCTACATTTGGCTACACAGTGCCGGGGTATGGACTCATTATATGAATCCAACAACACGTTCCAAAGCCACTTCATGTCCCAAACCAGCTCAAAGCGCATGAAGAGCAAAACGGTCAGTAGGAGTTAAACATGCATTGGTGACTTCAGAATGGTACAAACCCAGAATCTAATTACTATATATTTACTTAACATTATTTAACTATTCATCAACCCCCATCTAGAAAATGGTGAACTGGCAAATTGAGGCACCTGCTCTGAGCCTACACAGGATGCACTCATGCCTACAATATCTCTCTTGGGTCCTCCTGAGGAATGACATCCAATCTTGCTTCCATGTTCTCAACCATGCTTACAACAAAGTACTGTTCATCTCTCTGTGGAGGAACCCATGGCGGATTTCTTTCGTCCCATGTCCTCACAGGAAAGCCCAGGCCGCCCAGGTACGCTTTCTCCGCCTCCGAGAAGGCGCGCGCCAGGAAGCGCACCCCACTGATGGCCTGGCGGTCGGCGCGGTCGGCAGGGTCGGTACCTCAACCGGCCGACTGGTAGGGACTTGGTGGGTGTTCGGTGTTCCTACCGAGTCAGTCTGGGGTAGGTTGGGGGGGCTGCCTACCAAAGGGTTGAGGAACCCGAACAAAACGATCCCAGTTGGGTATACCCAGGTTCTGGGTCAAGTGAATGTTTGTATAAACCGTGTTCATCTAGCTACACAGCAACTCAGCTCAGCTCCCCAGTGATTTTGGGTCGGACATCGAGACACCGGGCCCTGCAACGATTGGTGAAGACCCTAAAGACTCGCATGAAGGAAGGAATATCATCTTATTCCAACCTCCCATCAGGTCGGATGATCATCGACTACCAGGAGTCACATGGAGGGCCTGGGTGGTTTGGTTCGTCCCCTTTTTTTGGTGAGTGGATGTGACAGGGGGTACCCCGACTTCCTCGAAGCAGGTTCGGCACCGCTCAGCTCGACTCCAAGCGCCGGGGATCGGAGCCCTTCCCCCCGGTTCCCAGGGGCCTCATCTGAGGAGGCTTTCGAGGCCCGGGCAGATTCCAGGAGCCTCGGGAGTCCAAACGTGCGGATTCCAAAAGGATTCAGGAAATGAAGTGGAAAACCACCTGTTTGCAAAGGAGAATTGTCATCCAAGGGGCCATTTTCCACCCATCTTTCACTTCCGTGACCATTAATTTCAGGAGGTGCATGTACTAATTTCACATCCTTGCAAATGCATTTGACCTGCTGTCAGTGGCTGATCTGTCAAAACGATGGTCCACACATGGACGATCACCCTCAGTCTTTTTCGGGTGTATCCTATTATTTGTAAAGAAGTGGATGGTGATGGTAGGTCGCAGGCCTTCCTCTAAAATAATGTTCTCAACGGTCGCAGTAGGTTTACTAGGACAACCCCCAAGGTCTATTGCTGAGTGAACCGCGCCTCCTCTGGACCAACTCCACAGCACGATTCTTCTGCTCCTGGTCGAGCAGAAGTCACCGCGTGGTGCACATTCTGAGTAAAGCGCCGATTCGACTGGTGCTACTTGATCGAAAAAACAGTCAAGATGAGGTACCTCACATGAAGAGTTGTGGCTTCGAAGTAGTTGGGTCAATAATCTAATCTGTTGCAACCAAAACAGCAAGCAAGGAAAAAAAAGGTGCAAGTTCTGAAACCCTCGGGCTCCAAAAGGGCTCCAATTGTCTCCTGAGAAGGTGTCTGTTGTTTTGTTGTTGTTGTTGTTGTTGTTGTTGTTGGAGGTGTGAGCACCCTCACTCTGGTGCTCAGTGACTCTACAATACTCGAAGTCCAGGTTTGCTGGTTGGCTGTTGCATGTGCACAACATCTGACTATTTGATTGACAACATTTGAGATAAAAATTGGTTGTATAGATTTATATATCCATAAGAACCCCGGCCCTCCTCAAACAAATAGGGTTTTGAGGGCCTCGGCCCCTGCTATGTAGGGTCCGACCCCTGCAAGGATTCTTAGGGATATATATGATTAAATTACATGATAAACAAAACCCTGAGTTCCAAGATTGCATTGTCTTTACCAAAGAAGCATTGTTCACTAAGGAAGTTTGGACTATGACACCAGGAACACATATTGGTTTAATATGGTTCAATGGTCATTGATGGCTAGGGAATTATAGTAAAGTATGTTACATATAGGCAAATACTGCAATCAATGCCTTCTGTGCCTGTTCTGCAGAAAAGAAACCCCACTGACATTCCCTCCGACCCACAGCCCATGGGAAAACAGTAAAAAAACGGTTCGTTGCCTCCCCCAAAGAGCCAATTGCACGAAGGTTTCGTCGCAAAAGCTTCGATTCCCACAGCCCGAGCACCCCAACCAGGTGGTCTTCGGAACGGTGACGTGATTTGATGACTTGAGAAGCCTTCACAAGTCCCCATCTTTAGGCCCCCAACCAAGCCCAAACAAGCTCCGCCAACCCAAAGACTCAATGCCTTCCACATTGACATCCCTCCACCCTTTCCAAAACAAACAACAAGAGCCACCCCCTGGTCCACGCCCCTGTCCCACGCCACGTCCCACGTACGGCCCGACCGAAGCGTTCGGCCTGCCAGCCCGACTGCTCCGCGGTGGCCACCAGCTGCACCGTGAGCTCCGGGTCCGCGCCGACTGAGAGTGGTGAAACTCTTTCAACGGAGATCCGGGAGATCCTTCCCGTCTCGCGGGCGGATGGTTTCGCAGTCGGTGAAGATCTGCGAAGCAAGAACGAAAAACTACAGTGGGCCATCAGAGGTGAGACGTGGCACAGACCTCAAGATGTCCTGAAAACATGGGGGTTCATATAAACCACCGACATTGGGGTCTGTGCCATCTACTCTCAATCCACTATTAATTTAAATATATTTAAATATGTCTATTGACTTGGATCAGCTACAAGTGATGTTGGAAGGGAGGACATTCATGTTCAACATCAGCTGATTTGGCTCAAGCAAAAATACCTTTTGGCAGATCACACAAGATACCAAAAAAATATAGCACATGTCCTGCAAACGAGCGGGCTTGTTTAAGCTGCAGGACTTCAAACCATGGGAATGCGTCACGAAAGAACTGGACAAATAGAGGTGGTAGAAAAGCTGGCAGGTCAGGCGGCCCTCTTTGCAGCATATATATCTTGACTTACATCTTGCTATTTCTTGATAGCTTTTCCCCATGAAAACTTCTCAGCTTCATGGGCTTGGCGGTGCTTGGCTGGAAAATATCAAACAAGGAGGCAGCTGCAAAAGAAAGCTGTTACCATCTGTTACCATTAAAGGATACTGGGTGGCTCCTATCGGCTAGTATGATGCTAGTATGGCACAACCAAGCAAAAGAGTCCTTGCCAACGACCTCACAGGCTAGGCTAGGCCAAGGAGCAAATATCTTTGCCCTCCTCAGCCACCAGCTTGGCTTGAAAGTCCTCCTTCTTCTTGCGCTCGCCTTGGACTAGCATGGTGACACATATCATTAAAAAAACAAAAGGCTAAACAGCGTGAATCCTTGGTCTTCAGCCTTATATACTGTGGTTTCTACTGCCTACCACGGTGGGGCCTACCTTTACAACTCCGGATGGGGGGTTTCGACCTCGGCACCTCGCCATGAAGCGCTCGGTCCTAAAGCATCGCTGGTCCTCGACCGAGACCGCCCCTTTTTCCGGTGCCGCAGGAGGTCGACCGAGACCGGCGACCTCGGCGTCCACGGTGGCCGGCCGAGTGGAGACCGCTGTTCGGCCAAGCTCCTAGAGCTCAGTGTAGTCCTGGCAAAAGGGGGGGAGCCGAAGCGCTTTCCTGGTCCACCTGGAAAGAACGGAGTCTTCACATGTCTTCACCATCAACTTGGGGGGGGAGCTTCTTAAAATCACCGCGGAAGGTGCGACTGGTGGCGCCACGGGTCCGAAGCCAGAACCAGAGCTGACCAGACCCAAGACGCCCCTAGAAGCGTCCTTGCTCCTATTGGTAAGGCCAGGAGCCCTGCTCGTAAATCCCATCCATCCATCCGACAGCTGCACGAATCCTTCAGCTGCACAGTTCTCCTTCCGCTCCTTCTTCTCAGTCTTCTCATTCTTCCGTTCTTTCTTTTCCAGCACGTCTAGCCGTCTGGAAGACCAGTCGATGCAGTGCTGAAAAAGTTGAAGCTCCATCTCCTAAGGACTCAAGAACTGATCTCCCAGAAAGCACCGCACAACACAAGAAGGAAGACTCCTTGAAAACGCTGCAGCTTCCAGCCACCCCCCAACAGGCCAAAAGCTTTCTCGTGATTCATCCGTGACGAAACCGCTGGTTCCGCCCGGCATGGCGCATGGCGAAGAACCCCTGCTTCCAATTCCCCGCGCCCCCACCGGTTCTCCAAGGATCTCTCACCAGAAGTGCAGACTTGGACCTCATCACAAGGAGGTTTGAGCACAGATTTCCGCTCTTTCAGAGGCACCAAGAACCCCAGCCGGCGGCCACTGTATGCCAACTATTTCCATGCACGTATATTGCATATCATATAACATATAATGAATGGGGCATCATGGGGCAGTTGCTGAGATTCTCGGGCATCCGGCAGTAGTATTCACATGCCTAGCACATCAATCATGCCCACTTTGGATTTGCGAACCTGCTGCGGCAACAATATATATAGTATATAACACACCCCCAAAACTCCATGTGTGATAAATTTTCCAACACGGACAACTCACATCACTCCAATATACTCCAAAGTATTCGATAGAGTTTTTGGATACTAATCATCCTTCAAATATCATCCAATGGTTTTCAATCGTCCCTATGAATCTTTGGCTGTCCCATATGGAGGCAGTCGGCACTTGGCTTCGATCTTGCTTCACCTCCTCAAGTGTTGCAGCGTCCACCGTGGACAGCACCATCCTGGGTGGTCGCCCCAAATGGCACGGCATCTGACCAAAAGGAAAAGGGGTCGATGCAAAGGTCGGAGCTTCAGTGATTGAGCTTGTGCCAGGTCCTCAAACGAACGGTATGTGGATGTGTTGGAATGGCGAGATACTCCAAGCAAGCAATGGGTTTTAGCATGTTCTTGTTATTTGCCAGGGTGGTCCCCCTATTCTAAATACAATGCCCACATGCAATTGGAACTATAAAGGGTGGTACTAAGGGCGGACTCCTTCGATCTGCTCTGAAGGAATTCTGCTGGAAGTGTGTGAATCTCCTGTTGGGGGCCTTTCAAGCCTTGGTGTCCAAACAGGAGGCCATCCCCCAACTTCTGACCTTCTTCGTTTCACTTCCTTCACTTCAGCCCAGTGGCTTCGAGCTGTTACACTCCTTCACCAGCTGCCGGTAGAGCCGGCCCTCCGCCTCGCGCCAAACCGCGAAGGTGGCGCCCGGTGGCCGGGGCCACGAGTCGAAGTAGCCAGCTTGCAAGGCGTGGAAAGCGGCCTCGCCTGCGGCCGGCTGCGCCCGGACGGCCGGGGCCACGTAAAAAAAGCACCTCTCTTTGTAGTTACATACCCTAGGGCTCCAAGTACCTTCTCAGATGGTCTTTGGGGTGGGTTCAGAGGGTCCAAATACCTTCTGAGGAGGTACGACTGGAGCCCTAGGGATACAGCTTACCGGATGTATATGGTGACAGTACCGGGTCGCATGTTTGGTTTCTGGTCGCTGAGTGCGGGTCTATAGATCAATCACCGAATTTGGTGAGTGTTTTGGGCCTTCGGCTCTGAACGAAGCCACGAGTAAGGGGCTGAAGTGCCTCTCCTGTGGTGATCTAGCAAACCCTGCACCACTTGGAGTGGTAAACACTTACAAACACCTGTGAATGCCATCCCTTTGGGTCCACATCTCCTCTGAGAAGGTGATTGGAGACTCTTTTTATGATCTGTCACGTAGGGTCCTGGAGGGTCCAAGTCCCTTCTCAGTCTTCTGAGAAGGTAGGTGCATCCGGCATCCGCATGGATTCAGTCGACGGGTTGAGAGACTTCTGTTCTTTTGCGACCCTATATATAGTGGCTATAGAGGTACACATGGGAGGGCGGCCTGTTCAAGCTCCCTAGGATGGTGACCCTGATGTTTCTCCAGATTTGAATGTGGACTTCTTGGGAACGGTGTCATCAGCGCGAGAAGATCCACGCGACATCAACGCAACGAGTCACCACCACCCAGCCATAGCACGCTGGCACAGCGGAGGTTGCTGGCACTGAGGAGATCCTCAGTTCTGCGTCCGGCTGAGCAATGGCGGTCACTAGGAAAGCCCTCAGTCATGAGCAAACTAGACTAGCTGGCAGGTCAATCGACATGGGGCTCCAGGTTGTGACCCATCCCCAAATCTCTCAAAAGTATATGAAGGATCACCAATACCAAGGGAGTTTTGGTGGGAAGTTGTTCCAAGGAGGTTCTCCAAGAAACTCCTGGAATACTTCCTCATGTCGGGAGGAGGAGTTGATGGACTATGTATGTCATGTACGGTACTCTTCCAGTACTCTCCATTCCAGTATTTTTTCTTTGTTCAACTGTACTGTAGAGTAGGTCCTCAACAAGCGCTAACAATCAATGCCTGGTGCCTATCTCTGGTAATGACGTACTACACAATCTGCCCAAAAGAGTCCTCACCTGGTTGTCCCTGAACATCCCTTGACATCCAATAATTCAATCATCCAATGTTCAAGCTTGAGTTTCCCGCGCATTCCCCACTGCTTGCGGCCCAAATCTCCCCCGAACGAAGCAGAAGGGTGCGCACCTCTGAACGGCGACACGTGAGCTGCGCCTGCTGAAGCATGGCATCCAGCAAACTGTCGGAAATGGTCCCCTGGCGATGGGCGGAAGTGAATCAAACATCCATAGGCCTGGCGTGGCCTGGCCCCTCAAGCAAGGCCAACAAGACCTGCCTGGTTGAAGGCCAAAGAGAAGAGCAAAGGCCAACGGAATAGTCTGTGGATGTATGTGGGTATCCTCCCAGTTTGGCTGCCTGGGAAGAAGACTAGAAGAAAGCACAATTGTTGTGGGGTTTCCCTACGTTAATTGATAGTGGATTGAGAGTAAACGGCACACTGATGGCACCGATGGCACAAGTTAGGTACCCCCAAGTTCGGTGCTTCATATGAACCCCCAGCTTAAGGAGATTTTTCGGGGTGCCAGTGCCATTTACTCGAAACCACTGGCTCCGTGTTACGGATGGCTCCGTCCCGCTAGATCAGTCTCACGACTTTAGGGTGTTAGACGGATCTCCCTGTAGCCACAGCTACCCAGGCCGGACCACCCAGCACCAAAGTCGAACATGGCCAACATTCCGATCCAAAGCAGGGGTCATGTCTGGCGCTCTATAGGCTGATATTTGCCCGCGTTGGTGTTCCGTGTAAAAACGCCTTTTCAGCTACCGCCAATGTGGGCAATTTTGCTCGCACGGAGCGTCGATATGCTCAATGGGACGCTTCCCACCTGCGAACGCCCCCCCACCTGTGTCAACGCTGCTCCATGGGGATTCTCAGGGTAGATGATGCCATACCTAGGGAAGAAAGTGGATGCCCGGCTGAAAGCCACCAAAGGAGTAAACAAGAATATACAGTAACAACATGTAACACGCACATAAAATGCATTTCAAGTCAAACTTGTGGCCCATCAGTTTGGGCTAAGTAGGGCAAACGGATCATTTAGATTAGATGATTGGTGATCCAGTCGAAACACCCGCTCTGATTTGGGAGAGAGTTAGACTATATCATTGCTTGATCATTGTTTTCGGCCTGGTCCGCAGTAGGACTTAGCACACCCTCCTACAGCGAAAACCCGGCACGATCTTTACCGAAAACGCCTGCCGCTTTCGACTCGGAGTGACATCGCCCACAGCTGCCCATTTGGCTGCTCGCTGCAAAGGAAGACCTCGGCAGCAACGTCAAAACCGGGGGACCTGTAGTCTGTAGTTGACCTGTAGTTGACCAGGGTTTGGAGCCGGTTTTGACCCGATATCTGGGGGAGTCCCATGTTGGGACCAGTGAAACCACAAATATACCATGAACACTGGCTGAGGACACCAATTACACTACAGAAAAAGAACAGAGTCACACTTTCAAGTACCTTCAGTCGTCACTTCTTTTGGACAGGCTACAGGCTGCACGACAACGTACAGTAACTCTTCCGGTGTCACAACATGTCCATCTTCATGCGAGAGCATGGGCAGTTCCGGCCCGGCATGTGTTTCCAGCGAACCCATCAGTTGGCGTCACCCACTCGATCCAAAATTCATCAGAAAGAGTGTGAGAATCGACTTCTAGGAAAACAACCTCACAGTCCTTCCTGGCGTCATGAAGGTCCATGTCCTTCAAACAACATGTCAATTGAGCAATAATATGCAATACTATGTGCCGTTGCTGTACCCTTTTCTAAACCACCACATGGCCTGCACAAGTCTGGCAAAACATGATGAGCCAGATGGTCTACCGGCATAGGGTGGTCTGTGGTCTGCGCAACCCGCCGATCACCCCCTGCCCTCCGGGCGGCCTCCTCGCCAGTCTTCATGCCTTTCCCGGCCAGTACCGCCCAACCAGGCAAACGCCCGGTAGCCGCCACGTCCCTCGCCAGGGGTGAGCAGCCTTGGCGCGGGTGGCGGGGGCAGAGAGGTGAATTCACCGACCTGGCCGCTACAACTGGCTTCGCTTGAGGAACTCCAGCTCCCTGATCTGTTTTGAGCCGGTGGAAGAAGAGGGGGGGTCGCTGGAGGAAGGCTTCTGTAGACCATGCTGCGGCTATGTCCTTGGCCAAGCAGCGATGGAGGTCCCAGTGTCTCAACAAACCATCCAGCAGCCTCAGATGTGACCCGAACCCATGAGCTGAGGATGCCTGACTAGAGTTGGCATAGAAGTAGAGTAAAAACACTTGGCACATTATATATCATGTATATAATTGAGTGAAAACACTCTGGTCTTTACGAAACACAAACATTTGACACCTTCTGTTACTTTGTCGACAGCCAGGGGTCAAACAACATATATATATATATATATACAGTATATATATATGGCTGCTAGCCCGAGACAGGCGTTACTCCAGGCTATCAAAATTGATTCCAAGGTTTGGAAGATTCTGCAGCAGAAAGTAAAGAAGTTATAAACTGGATGTGCAATTCGTACCACCCGGTGACCAACCCAGGAAGTACACTCACCCCCTATAGGGTGGCTTGTTCGTGCTTCGTGCACAACTGTGAGCCCCAGGGGGCGGCAAGACATTGTGACCCCATGACCGGTCCCTAGCATCAGCCATGTTCAAACACGTTCTACTATTACTATAGTAACAACTAACCAAGGGCATCGCCACGAGGATCTATTCGGAGCGATCGGACGCTAGTAAACAAGGGCATCGCTACTGGGTGTCTCAAAGACGCTGCAGGGACCCAAGGTAAGACATTCCCTTCCGTGATCCACCGGAACCACAGAAATTCCACCGGAACCAGGCTGCTTAGGGGCCTTAGGGGATCGGTGGTTCTTGTCCTTGTGTCGCTGTTCGTTGTCCTTTCGGGAGCTCGAGGCCCTGATAGGGCGACATGGGCTGACCGGTTCGGCTGCGGCATCGGTTTCATGTGCCCCATGTTTGCTCGGCCACCATGTTTGAGCTGGTGGGCCCGGGCACGAAGTGCCCCTCCACATTGTGGTGCAAGTAAAAGCCCAAGATCCACTCCGCGTCCGTGGCGCTGAGCGTGCGACCCTGCAAAGACAGGGTCGCACGACGGGTGCGACAGATCCTCTGTCGTTGCTGTTATTTTCACTATCATCCCAGAAAAGGTTAAGAGGGCGGATCCCGGATCTATGGTTTGGGTGTCTCTTGGTCCATTGGTTACCAGCCAACTGGTGGTTTACATGCAAGGCACCGCTGGTGGAGTCTGGGTCAAGAAGTCAGTGACTTGGATAGTAAGTCAACATGAATCCCTTTTCTTCAGAGTGATCTCTTGAATTAATAAAGGTCTTGATACCCCATGGTATGGGTCACAAAGAGGCCTTTGAAAGGTCACAAGGGCCTACGGACTTACTCCAAACAGGCCACGGAATTGAAGGAACTGGATGGACTGTGCCGGCTCTCTTTGGCACGGGTCATGCGTGCATGGCTTGGACTCGGACCGACGGTCACAAGTCACGCAGAAGGTGTGGCAGCGACCCACCGTCATCTTCTCTCACCAGCACTTTGGAGTACCCAAACAATGGCGCTGGGCCCTGCATCTGCCGACATCACCCGTCAGATCATCAGGCTTATGTACACCTCTTAGCCTGGCACCGACGGACACCGGACCCTCCAAGCCCCGCAAGTACGTCGTGCACAGCGCCCGTCGAGTAGAAGCGGTGAAACACCGCGCAGGCGGGCGGAGCCACCTGCACAGGTACGCGCGCCTCCAGGTGCATTCCTTGCAAGAGCTTTAGGAGCTCTTCATTGGCCTCGATTGGCCTGTCGAGAACACAGTCCCCCATCAATCAGAGCGCTGCACGCAGCGCGCTGCTGTCGGGAACAATGCTTGGTCTTCCAAAGATCCGATGCAAAAGGGATGCAATGATTACTACACGGCTCGGCATCGATCAAAAGCAAACGAACTATGTAACTGTTCTGCGTCACTGTGTTGCATCATGTTCGGGTTGTAATAATAATCTGAGGGACGTCTAGCTTGAACCGGGTGTCTTCCAAATAGCAAGTG